AAAGTCACCCAGATGACTTGTGCCAAGGGCAAAACTAAATTCACAGCTCTTCTAGCCTAATGCCTTAACCACTCCACCAAACTGGCTCTCCCATTATAGCAGTGCATATTCAAAATCACAACCAAAAGTAAATAATAAAATACACATAGTCCTTGACTTACAAACACAGTTGAGCCCAAAATTTCTGTTGCAAAAGATGATCACATGACCTTGGGACCCAGCAATGGTCATAAGTATGAACCAGTTGCCAACCATCTGAATTTTGATCACATGATCATGGGGATGTGGCAAACAACCTAACCCTGAAAAATGGCTGTAAGTCATATTTTTCAGTGCATTTGTCACTTTGAACAGTCAGTGAACTGTTGTAAGTCAAGGACCACACGGCACAAGCTTGATTAAAAAATGTTTCACCAGAAAATCTTAATTCTCATAGTGATAAAGACAGTGCTTTAGGGAATATTAGTTCTGTCTAGTCACACCTTAAATAAGCTAGAATCAATCTATCTAAGATCTTGCTGGATAGAACTAGCATTCAAATTGTGCCTCCCTCCCTCCAAAAAAATAATGGCAGAGCCATTTGTACAAAAGTGAGCCTAACATAAATTCTGTCTTATCATATTCACAAGGTATTTGCCTAATTATAGTATTTATCTTCACAAGGTATTTGCCTAATTATAGTATTTACAACCAGGTTTCTGAATTTGAAGTGTAGCCCTAATTAGAAAACATGAAAAGAATCAATGAGGGGGAACTACAGGCACCTCTAAACCAGGGCTATGCGCTTTGGGATTGGCTGTGGACCAGGCTGATCTTAAAAATTAATCTGTCACCGGTAGCTGTATTGACTGATTACTGATTTTGCTCCATCTTATTGGAATATGAAATAAAACTGGTATTTTCCCTTGTGACTGAAGATCTTCTGGGCAGAAACTCTTACTGAGTTCCTTAGCAAAAAAAAAAAACTATTTCTTTCCCCACCTCCTATGGATCTTTTGTTTCCTGTTCCTGGAATTCAACTGCTTCAATGTGCTTTGTTTAGACCTCATATTCTCAATCCCCCAATCCAAAAGCTGCTAGTTGCAAAATTGCTGACAGGCTAGCATTTCACCTTTGTAAATTCAAAGGGATTTTTCAATAGAACAAAGGAATGGTAGCAATGGGAAGCATTTGGGGTGGAAATTCAGTGCTTTTGTTTGTTTGTTTATTTTTATATTATTCAAGGTTTGCATTGCTTCAGTGATTCTGAGGGATTCACAAGAAGGCATAAGAACAATAAAACAATAAAACAATACGGCAATAAAGGAAGACCAATAATGGGAAAATCAAGCAGCAGCAAACACACCCCTCTTCCTTGAAAGGGGCTACACCCATCCTAGCCAAAGAGCAAGGACTTTTGAGGCCTTTCAGAAATGCTGGTAGGGTGGGATCCACCAAGATCTCAAGTGGGAGGAACCTCATTCCAGAAGGTAGCTGCTATGACAGAGTACATTTCAGGGGCCCAAGAACCCAGAGCACACCAACCCTACCAGATCAAAGCAACCATGCAGAAAGATAGCCTTATGCCATGTAAGATTTTATAGAATAGCAACCAAGCACCTTGAATTGCATCTGGAAGGAAACTGCCCAGCCCTTGCAATCTGGACCAGTTAAAACCTCTGGGTGATCTTCAAGGGAAGCTCCACGCAGAGTGCATTGCAATAGTCAAGTTTGAGACAGCACAGTTGAGAAAGTCCAGAAATATTTCACAAGAAGAGTTCTCCACTCCACTACTTGTAGAATACCTTATGCCACCAGACTTGAAATTCTAGACCTAGAAAACCATGAATTATGCCGTCTTTGGTCTGATCTAAGTATGGTATATAAAATCATACATTGCAACAACTTACTTGTCAATGAATACTTCAGCTTCAACCATAAAAACACGAGAGCACACGAGATACAAACTCAAGGTTAACCGCACCAAACTTGATTGCAGGAAATACGACTTCAGCAACAGAGTGGTCAATGTCTGGAATACTCTACCTGACTCTGGTTTCTTCCCCAAACCCCAAAAACTTTAACCTTAGATAGTAGATTGTCTACTATTGACCTCACACCTTTCCTAAGAGGTCTGTAGGGGGCGTGCATAAGCACACCAATGTGCCTACCGCCCCTGTTTCTTTTATTTTTCTTATATGTACCCATTTCATGTATTCATAACTATGTATATACTTATACCTATTATCTTGGAAGCGATTGACAAATCAAATAAATAAAATAAATAAAATATATTGTCTTGTCTGCAGCTTTTTTCCCTGTATCTTTGGGATATTCTAACAGATCCATCAGACATGTTGGGCAAAAGTAGACAGTGTTCAATCTCTAGGAAAGATCTGGAGATTCACTTCAATAAATCTTGTTTTCAATTGCCAAGAGCAATTGAAAACAAGACTTATTATAGAGTACATTGGCATACCTAGACAATATCAAGTACAACTGCCACTATTGGCAGTATGCCCAACCCAGTGGAAAGCATAAAAACTCAGAACCTCATTTCTTTATTGGTGCTCATGGCAGAAGCACGGTGTTGGGGGGATGGAAATAACAAAACTCCTTTTGAACATGTATCATTACATCACATGAACAGCTGAATATGGCAGAGCTTGTGTCACAAGCGACTTCTGTTTTTGTCAATTTGGTGAACATTTCAAATCCTGCAGATACCTCTGACTCCCAAGGACCTTTTGGAGAAAACGGGTTGTGATGCAAAAGGTGTTTATAAAAGCTCAGTACATATGCTTATGTACTACTGACACTTTTGGTAAAGAAATCGGGCCAAGTTAGAGTGTGATTTTGAAAAGAGCCTTTATATATAATTTAATACATCAACTCTCTAACAGAATTTTAATTGCAATTTTCAAAACAAACACAACAGTGGTTCTAATGTCATGGTAGATACTTGTGAAAACCAGGAAAATTCTGAAAAGCTGAACCTAGTCAGAGTTTTACTTTCATGCAGGAGACAAATGGGATCAGCTGATTAAGAGGGCTGTTGTAGACTCTTTCTCCCTGTTCAGACGGGTAGCCAGCCTTTACAAAATAAGCTAGAGGCCACAAAACCCCAAGGCAGTAACAGTCATAAAGAGGCTCTGAAGCTAGAGCAGAATAAGAACAGAACAGAATTACAGAGTTGGAAGGGACCTTACAGGACATCTAGTCCAACCTCCCCCTGCCGCCCAAGCAGGAGACCCTACATCAGGGGTGTCAAACTCATGTGACATATCGGGGCTTCCCCCCCACTTTGCTAAACCAGGTGGGGGTGTGGCCAGTGCATGACGCATCTGGCCTATGGGCTGGGAGTTTGACAGCCCTGCCCTACACCATTTCTGACAGATGGCAGTCCAGTCTTCTTGAAAGCTTCCAGTGATGAAACTCCTATAACTTCTGAAGGCAAGCTGTTCCATTGATTGATTGCTCTCACTGTCAGAAAATTTCTCCTTATTCCTAGGTTGAATCTCTCCTTGATCAGTTTCCATCCATTACTCCTTGTCTGGCCTTCAGGTGCTTTGGAAAATAGCTTGACCCACTCCTCTCTGACAGCTGTTCAAATATTGGAAGACCGCTATCATGTCTCCCCTGGTCCTTCTCTTCACTAAACTAGCCAGTTCTTGTAACCATTCATCATGTTTCAGTCTCCAGTCCCCTAATCATCTTTGTTGCTTTTCTCAGCACTCTTTCTAGAGTCTCAACATCTTTTTACAGTATGGTGACCAAATCTGGATGCAGTATTCTAGCTGTGGTCTTACTAAGGCTTTATAGAGGGGTATTAGTACCTCACATGATCATGATTGAATGAAAAAGTTCATGCAATTTAGGATTGCACTGGCTTTTTTGGGTTGCCACTGCACACTGTTGGTTTTCCAGTAAGACTCCAAGATCCCTCTCACAGTTACTATTATTAAGCCTGGTTTCACCCTGTTTATATACTGTATGTACTTTTGGTTTTTCTTGCCTAAGTGTAAGACTTTACTTTTCTCTACATTGAATTTCATTTTCTTAGATAGGGCCCCGTGTTCAAATCTGTCAAGATCCATCTTGGAGCTTGAGCCTATCTTCTAGGGTATTGGGTCTTCTTTCCAGTTTAGTATCATGTGCAAAATTTGAGAAGTTCCCCTTCTATTCCCCTAATCTAAGTCATTTATGAAGTTACTGAAGAGTCCTGGTCCTAAGACAGAACCTTGTGCTATCCCACTGCTTCCCTCCATGTAGATGTAGTTCCATTAAGCTTTTCTTTCCTTGAGGTCTTAGCGTGAAGGAACCTTCCTTGATAGTCCAGGTACTATCCAGGATTTTGAACATGGGTGTATCCTAGTTGTAATTCTTTTCTCATCTCTGCCTGGACAGATCCTATCTCTGCCTATAATTTATATCTGCAAAGCCAGAAAATACTGTCCTGGGGGGTGGGGGGAGCTTCTTACAGAAAATCCAGCCACTGAAATAAAACTTGCAACATTCTCAGCCGCTGACATCCATGCTTATTCTTCTGCTTTCTCCAGCTCTGACGGCCTTCTTCGCTACTTTGTATCCGGACCGGGTTGTAAACTGTTAGGGTGGGGACCTGCGTCTTGGTAATCTGTCGAGGGCTATCCTCGACTCCTCGCACACACGGATGGTGCCAGGCGCATAAAAACAATGCAATCTCCCTACCCTAGTCCAAAACCCAAATGATCGGCCGGGCCGAACAAACACGTGAGTTTCGCACGTGGCTTGAGACTCTTCCCTCTGCCAGTCTGAGAGCCACGGGTCCAAAATAACAGGCCGCGCATGGCGGGCACCGATTCCCATCTCAGGGTGTGCCCGAACTCCGCCACACCGGTGGGCAGGCGCATGCTGGTGCCGCGCCCCGTGATGCGCGCGTCCTCGTCCGCAGGTGCTCTGCAGCGCGATCAGGTCGTGCGGATGGTGCGCGCCGGGCTGGTTAGAAGGGAGTGCGGTGTTTTCCGAGCCCCGGACGGACACGTGTGCGTGGGGAAGCAAGCTCTGGCCCGCCGTGGTAGGCGCGCTCTTTCTCCCCCTTCTCCCTGCGGATCCGCGTTTGCGCTGGACGCGTCTCGTGTACTCCCTGCACCCTCCCGCAGGAGATGCTGAGCTGAGAGACGCCTTTCTTGGCCAGGCAGCGGCGGCGGCGGCGGCGCTTTCCTTCTTCATCTTAGCAACAGCGGCAGCCACCGCCGCCTCCTCGAGCCCGGCGGATCCGAGTGGCAGCAGGTAGCCGCCGGGCGGAGTAACCATGGCCAAGACCCGCAAGGAAAGGAACAGCTGGGGTAGGTGATGAGGACGAGCCCCGGGAGTGGGTGGGCTGGTTCGGCATATTTGGGCTACTTCCATCGGTAGCTGGTCGAGGGCCTGAGAGCTGCTGGGCGCAGCTTCCCCGCCTCGGCCCATTAGAGGCTCCGCCACGCCTTATCGCCGCGCCGGGACCCTGCCCGGGCTAGTCTAGAGGTGGCGAAAGGGTCTCAGACGGCCCCGCCCATCGTCCCCCGGCCGCCGTCTGGACTGGGCGGAGGAGATCACTAGGTCTCCGGACCTAACGGAGGAGGATTTCCCTCTTCGCTTTATTTTGCTCCGTGAATGCCCTCCCGTCCTTTCTTTTGCCCCTTGTGCTTGCCCCTGCCCGGGAGTGGGGGGGGGAATGGGGGGCGCCGAGAGAAGCGGAAGGGAGACAATGGGGCGAATGGCGAAGTGCAGCTCCCGCTCCGTTGCTTGCCACGATCATCGTCCGCCCTCCTTCCAAACCGCTCGAAGTTGTGGGGGGGGGGATAGGGTGGGGTTTGCTCGCTTTGGTTTGGATGGGTCTGTTCCACCATGGGAGCCACCTCTGAGCGCACCTTCAAAGCTGCTTAGGGGAAAATAATTTCCCATTAGAGCAGCCTTCCTCAGTATGAAGACAGACAGCAACCTCTTTGGGGGGGTCATGGGAAGGATAGTCCCAAGGCATCTAGTGGTACCGGTTTGGCAAAGGGACATCTAGCCTTCTCGTTTACAAACGGGCACAAAATAATGCAAGTATGGTTGTTTATTATGCCAGTTGCCTTAAGGGATTCGGAACCCTTCCTCTAAACACCAAAACCCTACATTTAATTTAGATCAGGAAGCCAGTTTTCTACATCAGGAAGGATTTTTCTTTAGACTGCAGTTTTATATGCGGTGGGGAGAAAAAAGAGAATGAATGAGTTGTTTAATTTATTGGAAGTCGGCAAGGTGTGGCGTGCACACATGTTAAATAAATGTGGGCGAGAACCTATGTATTTTAGTTAATTTACATTATGCCTCTCTTTGGAAATGCTAAAAAGGCTAACAAGATAAAAGTAATTTTTAAAAGCACCTCATGTTTTTTTCTTTAAATATGTTGTAGGTGATATCCCGTGGATAAAGGATAATTCAGAAGGTAGGGATGAAAGAGGATAGAAATGTAGACTTTAGAGTTGGGATGGATGAAAAAGAAAGGTATTGTTAATGTCAGGAAAAATACACAACAGTGTATTAATGTCAGGAAAAATAGGCAACAGTAGAATATGTGAAAATGTTACCCATGAATTGTAATCACTTCCTAAGTGAGTCAGCAATGTGACATGGTGGTAAAAAAGACCAACATAATTTTAAGTTCCATTATTAGCATTTCCCAGTCATGCTAAGTCAAGATTTCTTTTTTAATAGATCCACATCTTTTCTGGTGAACTGTGGCTGGTTCTGACACCCATTTTTACAGGTTAATAAAAATTCCTAGTGAATTTTTATGGGGAAATGTAAAAGGAGCTGACAATGTATAACATGAAGAAGAGGCTAGAGATATGAAAGACTCAGGCACTCCCTATCCAGAAGATGCTGGAATGTTTTTCATTTTTAATATGACTTACTATATTTTATAATGATTGTGTTTATAATAGTTAATATAATAATTGCTTCTTGTTAATATAATAATTGCTTCTTATTAATATGATTAATAAGTGAAATTTATGAAGACATGATCATTCTCTTCAAATATGTGGAAGACTACCCAGAAAACAGAAACTTTTAGATTTAAGTTGAGTTGACTTTATAAAATAATAAAGGCAGGATATAAAATACATGCATCATACATACATACATACATACCATACACACACACATACAAGGTTAATCCAATGTGTTACTTGAGGTATTGTGGGTTTTCTCATTAATCTGAATTAGATTTTGGCATCATTGATAGCTCCCAGCCTCACATTTTTGATGATATTTCCCAGGGAATTTCATATGGAAAAGCACTGGAGAAAAATAAAGTCATAAAACATTCCATATATTTGTCTCTATTTCAAGGAGCGTCTGTCTGCAAGCAACATAAGATGAAATTGAACAGAAATACAGGCTTGTAATAATAACCATTCTCTGAATGGTTGTGAACATCACTACTAAACATCACTACTAAAAGATCAAGACATGTAAACCTGTCTCAGATCCTCTTTTAGACTGACCAAAACAGGCTTAGCCCAATCTGAAGCCAGTTTGAAAATAATCAAGATAATCTGCCTCTCAGCTGCTTCCTCTAATTGAGAAGCCTCTCACTCAACTGCCATGGAAAGTTAGAGACAAGCCTATAATTTCACCCCTCAGAGGGGAATCCAGTAATTATCTCCGTTAAGAAGGGAGGCATCTTGCGGTTTTAATATTAACAAAAGCAGATCTGATAATCTCATAATGTAAAGATACAAGCCAATTTGGAAAGAATAGAGATTGTTGAATAAATGCCATTCAACAGCTGAATCAGTTACTTACTTTGGTTCCCTCTTGCTAAAAATCTTGAGGGAGAGGTTGGGTAGTCGTCTGCTGGAAATATTCTGATTTCCTACTTGTAGTGGTATTTTTATTTACAGTCATTAACCAGTGAGATATAACGTACACAAATGCAGCAGCCTCACAACCTTGAAAATTAAAACTAAGTATGTTCAAAAAATAAAATAGCATCAACAAAGAGGAAAAGTTACATTAATCCCATAACAAAGAGTATAGAACAAGGGTCTTCAAACTTGGCAAGTTTAAGACTTGTGGACTTCAACTCCCAGAATTCCTGAGCTACCATGACTGGGGGAGGAATTCTGGGAGTTGATATCCACAAGTCTTAAAGCTGTTGAGTTTGAAGACCCCTGGTATAGAGCATTAATCTGAGCTGTATGAGTCTTCACCTCTGACCAGGGGTGGGATTCAATTTTTTTAACAACCGGTTCTGTGGGCGTGGCTTAGGTGGTGGTCATGGCTTGGTGGTCATGTGACTGGGTCGACATGGCTTGGTCATGGTATTGGCTTGGCCTGGCCAACTCAATATCACTCACATTGAGGCGCGCTTGTCCTCACCTGGCCTCTCATGACTGTGGGGATGCTGCAACAGTCATAAGTGTGAAAAAGGGTCATAAGTCACTTTTTTCAGTGTCATTGTAACTGAATGGTCACTCCACACAAGCAAAGTACCGGAAAAGGAAGGGAAAAAAACTCCAGACATTACTGAGACAGGAAGTCTAGTCCTGCCAAGAATGTAATAAAGGTTAATGGAGAGCAAGTTTCTGTAAGCAACACCAGAATGTTTCCTTCCTGCCTTCCTTACAGGATTAGGCCAGTAATTTCTTCTAACAACCGGTTCTCTGAACTGCTTAGAATGTTAACAACCGGTTCTAGCAAATAAGTGTGAACTGGTAGAATCCCACCCCTGCCTCTGACCATCCCCCCCATTACAGATTAATTTATTATTATCTTAAATTTGCAGCAGTACTTTAATTAGCAACCTGAACAAATTTAATATTTTAAAATATGTCTCCTGTGCCTCTCAGGGTCATCTTGTAGCCTGCCAAGGAAGCTTTAGCTATGGAGTGTTTAACACTGGCTCAACAGTTTAACAAGAGAAATTATTATGATTAACTTCATAATGGCCACCCACTCTAAAAGAATCTGCATGAGAGATACACCTTATTTTTTGGGATTTCCTGATGGGAGCAGGCATTGAGTTATGTATCACTGTAGGTGTAACCAGATGTATATCTTAGTTATATATCTCTATGCTGTGTAACTCGTCAAAATGAATGGTCTTCTTCTGGGCTTCTTGTTTTCATTTCCCAGTCTAACCTAAAGCTCTGAAATCCACTGGTGGTAACTCACTGAAGTACTAAACTAGGCCAACCCTTGTTGGTTTTCTAAGTCAGCCTGAGGTTTGCTGAGACATTGGTTGAGATACAAATATCACCACATGTTTGGTGGTCATATAAAATTTCTTAATAAATGAATAAATAAAAGCCTTGGCTTTCAGGTGTTTGTCTGGTACCTGTAAATCATAACTGGCAACATTTTTGCTCCCATGTCCTTACGGCATTGTGTTCATCTCATTCCCAGCCCATCAGCCATCCTTAGTATTAGCAATGCTAGTCTTTTCCCCTTTAAATCCAGATGGCATCAGAGTGGTATTTATTGCTCATTCCAGAATATACTGCTTTTCTCCCAGTCACTGTTTAACCTAATTTTGTTGCTAAAGAGCCAGATACTGTTGTGCTGCTAGTCTGTTAGAAATGCATAATATCACACGGCAGTTCTGGAAATGGTATAATTCTATTGGCCTTCCTAATTTAGGAAAAAGCAGAACGATAGAGACAGTCTGGTCTCCCTCGCCCTATGCCTCCCAAACCATCCATACACACAGATACAGACACGCACACACATGTATGTATGTATGTATGTATGTATGTATGTATGTATATGTATAAAGGAAATAGGAGAGTTACCCTAAATGACTCAGCTGCCTTTGTGATTTTGAATTGAATTGAGTACTTTATTTGGCCAAGTGTGATTAGACACACAAGAAATTTGTCTCTGGTGCAGAACCTCTCAGTATACATGCAAAGCAACAGAATAATCATAATCATCTTCATCATCATAATCATACCAATAAAAAGGGGGAGGAAAGAATCTAATAAAAAGGATAAATAATATAGCTACAGCCAGGGGTGGGATTCAAATTTCTTAACAACCGGTTCTGTGGGCGTGGCCTAATTTGTGGGTGTGGCTTGATGGTCATGTGATCAGGTGGGTGCGGTTTGCTGACTGGGTGTGGCTTGGTAGTCACATGACTGGCTGGGCATGGCGTGTATGTAAATATTGTAAGTATTCATGTAAATATTTAATTTTTTATTTAAAAAAGAGCAATTTTTACCTAAAATCAGGCAAAGCTGGGAGGGAGATTGAGTTGCTCACAGAATCACAGATTCACTTAGAGATCTACCATTTTGCAATCTGCTACCTGAGTGTG